TAAAAAAAAATTATAGTTAGAATTATATATGCCAATAGTGAAAATGGAACTCAATTGAATTAATTTTTTTTTTACTATTTTCAAAATAAATTTTCAAGACCCCCTTTAAAAAATAGACGGTTACTGAAAAATTTGTTTTAAGGACGTAAATATAGGATTTTGAAAAGTTTATTATGAAAATATATAGATAGAGAATTTTTAATTCAGGCATTTTTTAAAAAAACTAATTCGAAAAACATCCACTCCAAAAATCAAAGTTTTTTTGTTTTTTTTGTTTGGGAGGATTTTTTTTTCTAAACCAATGGTGACACTGTTATGTGGTATATTTTTTCGTTTCTTGAAGGTTGATTTTGTTGAAAATTTCGACCAGGGTTTTTTTGAAAGTGATAATTTTTTTTTTAAAACCAGAAAAAAAAAAAAAAAAAAGATTTCAAAAATTATAGAAGATAATTTTAAAAAATATGAAAAAAATCAATTAAGAAAAATGATCAAATTTTGATGGCATAACGATATTAGTGTATTTTAAAAATTTGAAATTAAAATTAGATAAAAAAAATGCCCTCCACCTTCAAAATGGAAAAAAAAATGCGATCATGGCAAATTTAAAAATATTTTTTTATTATTTGAAGAATTATGAAAAAAAAAAAAAAACAATGGAGCAGCAATTTTGTTTTTTCTTTCATATAAAAAATAATTTGGTTATTACACCGACTGTTATATTTTCGATTTGATTATTTAATCCATATCTTGTGGATTTTTTTGGATCCAATTGCTTTAATCAACGACATTTAAATTTTTTGAATTAACGGAATATAGCCAGGATTTGAACTTTTGATCGTTTATTCCAAATGCTATCAACAAATTAATTTTTAAAACTTTATTTGAATTGATTTTGTCCTCAAAAAATTTTGATAAATTAACAAAAAAATTCAGGAGTTTCTTTTTTCTGATAAAGCCGAGTATTTTTTAACTTTCTGCAATTTTTGTTTTTTTTTTCAATAATTTTCATTGGTTTTAGTCCTCATATTTATGCGAATTACAAGCAGTTTTTATTAAATGTTTAAAAAAAAATTGGTTAAAATTTTTCTATATTTTTTTTTATGTTTTCTTCTTAAGACAAAAAAAAAAATGGTTTTTTATCACGATAATCATTAAAAGAATATAGTTTTAAAAATTTTAATTAGTGGAATTTAATATTTTTATCAATTTTCTATTTTAATTTAATCTTAAAGCCACATCACGTTTGAAATACCGGTGAATATGATCACCAAAGTAAAGCAACGTTCGAGGTTGGTAAGTTTTTGAAAAAACCACTTTTGAGAATACCAGATTATTGATTTACGGGTTTTTTAATGAATAACAGCTCGAATTGTAAATCAAAAAAGCCGTGTTCCAATTTCATTTTGGGTTCTGTTGTACTCAATATTTACACGCAAAATATTCATGATGGGATAATAATGAATTTTTCTTTTCCCCAATAATTTTAAAAAAAATAAAATTGGCCATTTAAACAATTTGCAAAGAATTAATAAGCCGTAGAAAACGAATCTATCTTATAGCCAGATATGATAAAGAAAAACATTTTTTAAATACTGTCTTTTTTAATTTTATTTTTGAAAATAAAACCTTTTTTTTTTTTTTGTTTTTTTTTTTTTTTTTAATTTATCCTATAAAAACCAGAAATAACACAGAAGACAATGTCTAACAAGAAAATTAAGTAAATGATATTTCACAGGGGAATGTTTGACAATGCTTCACGGTATTAACGTAAGGTTAAGGGTTATAAGAAGAATTTAATGTTTTTTATTTTTTTATTGATTAAGCTCCAAAATGTACTTCCAATTATTCCTGTTTCTTTATGAATATTTATTTTATGTTTCGATTTATTGAGACAACTTAATTATAATGGGGAACTTAATTAATCCTTTCAGTTCAATGATCAACAAAAAATGTCGATGGACTCATTATTTGTTTTTCTATTTGTATTTGTTTGTTTTATGTTTTTTTAAGAATTATAAAAAAATAAAAAAAACTTTAAATAAAAATTTAAATATTTCAAAATTTATAATTTTACTGTTTGTTGTTTGTTTCTTTGGTTGTTTTTGTCTGCTTTGTTTTTTTTTTTTTTTAATTTTTTTTTTTGTTTCATTTTTTTCCGCTTTTTTTGTTTTTGTTTTTGTTTTGTGTTTTTTTTTGTTTTTGTTTTTGTTTTGTTTTGCTTTTTTGTTTTTTTTTTTGTTTTATTCTTTTTGTCTTTTTTTTTATTTTTGTCCACTTTTTGTTTTTGTTTTTGTTTTGTCCACTTTTTGTCTTTTTTTTTGTTTTGTCCAACCCTTTTTTTTTTTTTTTTTTTTTTCATTTTTTGTTTTGTTTTATTTTTTAACACTTTTTTTTTTTTTTTTTTTTTTCCACTTTTTTTTTTTGTTTTGTTTTTTTTTTTGTTTTTTTTTAATTTTGTTTTTGTTTCAACGTTTTTTGTCTTTTTTTTTTGTTTTTTTTTTTTTTTTGTCTTTTGTTTTTGTTTTGTTGTTTTTTTTTGTCTTTGTTTTTGTTTTTGTTTTTTTTTTTTGTTTTTGTTTTTTTTTGAAACCATTCTTTGTTTTTTTTTTTGTTTTTTTTTTTTTGTTTTTTGTTTTTGTTTTGTTTTTTTTTGTTTTGTTTTTTTTTTTTCTTTTTTTTGTTTTTTGTTTTTGTTTTGTCCACTTTTTGTCTTTGTTTTTGTTTTGTCCACTTTTTGTCTTTGTTTTTGTTTTGTCCGCTTTTTGTCTTTGTTTTTGTTTTGTCCACTTTTTGTCTTTGTTTTTGTTTTGTCCGCTTTTTGTCTTTGTTTTTGTTTTGTCCGCTTTTTGTCTTTGTTTTTGTTTTGTCCACTTTTTGTCTTTGTTTTTGTTTTGTCCGCTTTTTGTCTGATGCCTGTTTTTGTTTTGTCCGCTTTTTGTCTGATGCCTGTTTTTGTTTTGTCTGCTTTTTGTCTGATGCCTGTTTTTGTTTTGTCCGCTTTTTTTCTGATGATGGGCTGTTGTGTCTTTTTATAAAATGGTCCTTTCTTATCTGTTTATCGTCTTTTGTCAGATAAAGTAATAATGTATCTCAGTTAGATAAATGCTTTATTGTAATCTTGTAATTTACAAGTTTATTTCTTAGGTTATGATTATTGCGTTCTGTTCCATTCTTAAGTGACGTACATTTTGTGGTTTTGTGTTAATTTTGTGCCAATACCATTATAAATTGATTTCTTTAAACCGCAGATAAAAGTTTTTTATTTTATATTTTTTAAAGCGTCTACAATTCTCTAATGCAGATTCATAATCAAAGATAAATAATGTTAAAGCTGATCTTGTGGATTTTTTGAAAAGTGCCAAAACCCATTTGTGACCATTGTGCTAATAGAAAAATAAGTTTTCATGGAAGAGTTCTTCGTTCTGTAACAGTTCTGATTTCACTAATTTTTAATATTTTATAGTTAATTAAATCGTGGCTTTAGACAAATTTCTTTTTCTTCGTTGTCTGTGTATTGCCATAGCTTCTTGGGAAAGATAGAGAATTATTTTTCTGTTCCCTTCTTGTTTTAGTAATTCAGATTCTTCCTTTTATGTTGACTACCAACCAATGCTCGAGTTTAGTCTATTCTGTTATTTAACTCGTAGATGGCGAGAGTCAAGAAGAAATATTCTTACCTTTCCCAATATCATTTGTGAGAGAATGAACACGGAGTAGTCATAAGATTTGAAATGTTCTCCTCATCCTATTTTATTTTTGTTGACTCTTCATTAATCTTTCAATAGAAATGCACAAAGAACATCGTCAGATTACAAATCACAAATTCGATGTTAGAAATCATCATCTATATGAAATTCGAGGACCGACGCTTTATATTTATTCAGCTTAATATATAACGGATATAAGCAAGATATAGTGTTATAATGTAAGCAAAGAGTCTGTTGAGATTGGTGGGGGAATACTTGACCGATTGCTCTCCCAACAACTACGAGGATAATAGCGAGTGACGGGAGGTACCAAAAAATAACACTGCCTCTGAAACAGCAACTTGAGGAACAAAATGCTCACGGGACCGACTTCACAAAAGACCGTGTCTTGCAGACTTCTTTTTTTTTCCAGCTTTTATTAGCATGATGCATCTTACAAAGACCCGAATCTTGACCAGTTGCAGAGAAGCCCGTATTTAGCTAGACATGCCAAACTGTCCTGCTGTGATCCAACGCTTCTTTTGCGTCGGCACTGACGCGCGTTCGCCACATATAGATAGATGGATACTCAAACTTGCTATGTGATTGCGTACAAATACATATACACCACCATTCGTGGTATCTGGTACATCTGCCTATGATAATCCGGAACAGACGTTCACTTGTTCTGGAGTCGCAGGAAGTGCTGTGTGTGTGTATATATATATATATATATATATATATATATAATAATGCTTTAAGAGTTCAAAATAAAAATTATCCAGGACACATTTTCTGGTTATAAAAAGACTTTTTTTATTGCGCTTCTTGCATATCTCGACATTTTTTTTTTTTTTTTTTTTTTTTTCGGTTAAACTCTCCCCGCACTTAACTTATTCGAAAGAGTCACTTAACTGGCCTATCGCGATTGCACCGCCCCACCCCCCTTAATCCATCAGAGTCATGGGGGTTCTACATATACAGCAGCAGTTGGTGCGTCTAGAGCAAGGTAGTTTTGAATTAAGTTTTTTTTTTTTTTATTATTATTTTTTTTTCTTGCCACACAAGATAAGAGCCAAATATGTGTCTGCTATTTGACCCCGGGATAATGGAAGATGGATTCATGCCTTTTTCCAAGAACACTAGCATAAAAGAAACAAAAAAGAATAGGTCGGAATTTGGACTCGGTTCGCCGATTTCACATTCTGCGCTAATAACCGTTGCACTGTCTGGTCCTGTGTCGCATACTTTTTTTTTTTTTTTTTACGGCATCTAACTTCTTTAATACTAACGTGAAACTGTTTCTTTACTTACGTGAGCAAGTCCGCCCATCACTCTGCAAGGAGAACCCCTGATGGCAGCCACAGGTGTAGGCACCGTCTTGGTTAATGCATATCTGTTGGCATTTGTCCGTCTGGGCGGCGCATTCATCAACATCTGTTTTTGAAAAATAATTAAATATTTCTTGAGTTCGATTGATTGATTGATTTTTGTTTTTTACGGTTTATCATCATTTTGCAGGTTATTTAAAAGTAGAAAATATTTTTTAATTGTAATAATTTCTTTGGAGATGATTTTTAGTGATACAAGTCTTACTAATTAACCATGGCGAGGCGGATAAGAGGTGGATTCATACCTTTCCCAAAGATATTTGTCCATGAGTGAATATAATGAACCCAACTGGAATTGTTATTCCAATGATACGCAGCCGCAAATGACATGAAGTCCGAACCAATAATTACTACAACGCAAAGAAAATATTTAGCTGTTTTAATTTTAATATATACTAAAGTATATATACCATATATTACTATATAAAATGAAACGTATGCTGTTGGCACACTGAATGATTTTAAAACCCTTAGTCGGCACATAGCAAAAGGTTGCCGACCCCTGCATTATACTCCTCGCACATCCAAGCTTACAGCACCTGGCATTCCCAAATGGTTACCCATCTAGGTACTGACCAGGCTCGATGTTGCTTAACTTTAGTAATTGTACGGGAACCGATGTTTTTTTAAATCGTTTTACCCCAAGCAAGGTGACAATGCCACTAAAACGTAGCGGGTTACAGCGAGTAAAAGTCAAAGAGAGTGAGAAGATTAAAAATGGAGAGTATTGAGGAAAGGGAAAAAAAAAGAAAAAAAAGAAAAAAGAAACATGGTTCAAGAAGACAGAAAATGGCGATTGAGTTTGCATTTGAATTTTTTGATGATTGTAGTTATCAGGGAAGCAAGAAATCAGGAGGGAGAAAAACTGTTAGAATAGAAATGGCATTTGCATCTAGCTAGTTCGACAGTAAAACTGTTTCAATGTAACATGACTGTAAACACCGTGTAGCAACAGACGATGGCAAGTGGAACACAGAAATCTGAAGGCGCATATGAACAATGGAAGATGTTTTCTTCATCCCCGCCATAACTTTTGCCCCTCAGTGCTTTCATTGGATCACGAAGATGGAAATCTGAGAGTGGTAAGTCAGGTGGTGATGAGGTAGTGAAGGAATTAACTGCATCAGCAGCCAACTGAGTTTTCCGAAGCTAGAATATATGCCTTCATTCGTAGATGGAAAATTAGCATTGAAAGAGGTGGTGAATATGTTTAAGTAGGGATGTGAACCTCTTTTCATATCTCTCTTACTTTGCTTAGTTTCTGAAAAGCATCTTCCGCTGTTCATACACGCCTTTTTGATTCACCCGCATAATATCTAATCCTCTCTATAGCAATCACCTCACAAATAAGGAGACCTCAAACGACAACGAATACAATGAACAGGACACATGAATAATGACTTTTCAGAACAATAAGAGCCACACTTGTACTGTCATATAACCGGTTGAAATTTCTGAGGCACATAATGAAGAAAGAAAGCTCGGGAGAGTTAACACTCAGAGGACATATTAAAATCAAGAAAAACAGTAGGTAACCTGCGAGTTTTTGTGACTAGCTGGCAGAACAAAGGAGTATGGTAAAAGATGTAGTTCTTTACCACAGTTAAAGACAGAACGCTGTGAAGAACCATGATCGTCAATATTAGAAAATGATATGGCGCATAGAATTTCAGTGTTTTCAAATGATAAAACGGGACTATAACATGTTTTCTTGAAGAATACTTTAATGAATCTTGGGTAATTCTCGTTAGAGGTGACATTGGAGGACCAGATACTAAGCGAGCGGGTAGGCATTTGCATACTGTGAGGGAGTGTACGTACTTTAATTCTGTTTGAAATAACATTAAGACTAAATTTGGTAATATATTGAATTTAAGAAGGCATTTTGAAAAGATCCCACCTGTCAGCTGTATACTTGGTGGGATGGTCTGGAGTCAAATGATCATTAAAAAGCAAATCACGTTTTCTTTTCTCATATTTTATTTTTTGAAATGTTACTTTTTAATGAACTTTCGTCTACACTAGAAACCACCCACCTCAGACAACGGGCGGCTAACTTTAACTCTCTCTCTCTTTTTTTATATATATATATATATATATATATATATATATATATATTAGTTCTTCTGGTGTGGCATTTTTAATATTTGTCAATTCCCACTTAATTAAAATGAAGGAGTGACTGGTAATTTCTTGACAAATCGCGGTCGCCCTCAATAATGACAATCCTGATTTTAGAACAACATAAATGTACTGAGTTTCTATTGTTTTAGACATAACCACAATAACAGTATTTATTTTAAAACTGAGTTTGTAAATGATACTTATGTGATTTGATTTTACAAGCTTGGGCAATCATTTCTCTTTGGACTGAACAGACGAGTTTTCCCGCAGTAGGTCAACTTTTCCTTCTGCGGTTGACTGGTTACCAACCAAGGCTATAGGGCCTGCTCTGTTCTATTGAACACATAGCTGAGAGAAAAGATAGATTCATACCTTCCCAAAGTGAAGGTAACGAATCCGACTAGAATTCGAACTACGCTCTCCGATTTCTCATTCCGAGCCGATAGCCATTACATAACAATGGAAAATTGAGTACACCCTACCTCTACCCACACCAAAAAAAAAAAAAACTCAAAACGAACGCCTCACGTCCCAAAATGCGCGAATACTTTTATTAAACCTGGCTATAGGCGAATTCGTTCAAATTCTGTCCGAATCAGTCACTTTCACTTTTCCACGAAGACCCCTTTAGGGAAAACATGAACAGCTCTCTTTTTCACCCACAGTTTAAAAAGCAGGGTAGATTGGGTTCTAAAGAAAATTCTGAATTCCAAAACTGGAAATGACTTCACTGTCATTCTCAATGATATAATACGTCTATATACGTTTTTTATCAAAAGTATTTTTGACGCAGACAAATAAACACGTTCAAAACACAACATTCAAAAAACAACTACAGACGTGTTTATACGTCGATCTCGATTCTTTTTATGCCATTCTGAGCTTCAAATGAGTCCATTTGTCAACTCGTACGTCTAATAGAGGTGTTAGCCACCGCTCGGGCACTTCAAGGTGCCTCAGTTTCTTAGTTACAATATTAAAAACAAATATAAAACATCGTGTGAAAATGAAATGTTTTCCCCAAATAATTGACGGGGAAGGGTTTAAGGAACAGTTATTTAAATGATTATTGGTTGAAGTAGTTATATATATTGCTCCTTGGAAGACTGGCGCAATGCACTCTTCCTGATACGCATTTGAAACGTTAGATTCCTCTTTCCTATAAACGTCAAGAATCGATGTTTGAGTTTCAGTAAAATTTGGGATAACCAATGCTGGCTAATTTTTGAAAATACAGCCAAGACTGTATAGTACCAATTGGGCTTTATTTTCCTTTATTTGTATCCCCGCTACATAAAAGTTAAATTTCGTAATTGTTTTAAACTGCCGACAAAATATTGTTTGAAAGGTTCTTAAAATCAACTTTCTCGGTCTTTATTTTCCTGTCAAATTGACATTGACCACGCGTACGTCCCAATTGCCTACAAGATTTAACTTTTTAGGAGTGAAAACTGTCGGTCGTTGCTAGATTTTAGCGAGGGACGTTGGTGCATATCAGTGGTAAAATAGCGGTTGTACTCTCCAAGATAATTCTCTCGCTCACACTTACCGTCTTCCTCTGGCTTTCGTTCTCTATCGCTCACTGGGTCTCGTTCTCTATCAAAGTATTTTTTGACCGTTTTCTCTCTCTCTCATAAAACTATTTCTAATTTTCTTGAAACTCTCTTTCTCTATATAAATATATATATATATATATATATATATATATTTATATCTATTTCTCTCTTTCACTTTTTATATATATTTATATATATATATATATATATATTTACATTAGTCGGACTATTGTCCTCATCTTTGTCGCCATATTTGTCACAACGTTTCGGCCGTTGTACGCTCCGGCCTTCTTCAGGTGGTTGGAATTTCGAACTGAACCCTTTATTTCGATCGCTGGGGTAGACTGTTCTAATTCCACGTGCCATGTTTTGATGGATGTCAGTTATCAGTTATCTCTGTTAATTTTCCCTCTGAAAGTTCTCCACTGCCTTAACCAGGAATTGAGCTCATTTCAATTTGGGTCTGTCATTGGATCTAACCAACGCCTTTATCCACTGTGCCATTAAATGCTTGAGGGAGATATATATATTGGAGACATATATCTATATATACCATCTATTTAGTATTTATTCTGTTTGGTCATATATATATAAAATATATATATATATATATATATATATATATATATATATATATATATATATATATATCTATATATATATATATATAAGAAGGTTTAATCCGACAATTTATTTATTAAAGACATTTTTATTTATGTTTAACGTTGTTATTTTATAGATACAAGTATTTAAGCAAATGCTCTGTTTATGATAAACAGTATTAAATAACATTTACCGGCCTGAATGTCCGAGAAATTTTCATAGAAAATATTCGTTCATAGACAGGATTCGAACCTGCATCCTATACGGAACCGTCATATACGCTGACATGCCTTAACCACTCGGCCACCATGAACCTTATGGTAGACAAGGTCGAATTTACTGTTATAAACTACAATCTTCCATGAATCTCGTACATTCATAACTGCTCTGGCGTATCGAATGTAAACAAATGACGTCATATGTTAAGAAATGGACAAGGTCCGACAATTTATTTATTTAAAGACATTTTTATTTATGTTTAACGTTGTTATTTTATAGATACAAGTATTTAAGCAAATGCTCTGTTTATGATAAACAGTATTAAATAACATTTACCGGCCTGAATGTCCGAGAAATTTTCATAGAAAATATTCGTTCATAGACAGGATTCGAACCTGCATCCTATACGGAACTGTCATATACGAAAACGTGCCTTAACCACTCGGCCACCATGAACATTTTATTTAGACAAGGTCAAATTTATTTTTTATTGGCAAAATTTTCAAACAAAATCATGAATCTGTAAATGGTTCATTTTAATTTATTTATTTTAAATTAAAATTAATATTCTTAAATAAAAATATTTAAAATATTCAATTGTTTTATAAAATTAAACATAAAAAAAAAATTTTTAAAATTATAAATTATTCGGACAATTTCCATTTTTTAACATATGACGTCATTATATATATATAAATAAGATATATGTGATTATGAACATACGAGATTTATGGAAGATTATAGTTTATAACAGTAAATTATATATATTTATATATATATATAAATATATTTTATATAGTCAGTATAACGTCAGGATATATTGGTTCCGTATAGGATGCAGGTTCGAATCCTGTCTATGAACGAATATTTATTCGAAATTATATGACATTCAGGCCGGTAAAATGTTATTTTTACTGTTTATCATAAACAGTACAAATTTTTAAAAAATATATATAAAATAATTAAACATAAATAAAATGTCTTTATCATATGTAAAATTTTTATATAAATATATAGATTTTTATATATATATATATATATATATATTTTATATATATAAATGTTCAAAATATGAAATATTTATATATTTAAATATAAATATATATATAGAATAATAAATATATATATATTTAATTAATATATATATAATATATATATATATATATATATATATATATATATATATAATAATATATCCGTTTATTTACATTTATTTATAAAGGAATACATAAATTTTTTTTATTAAAATAGAACATTTATGGAAATGTTTGTTTATCGATTTTATATAGAAAAAATTGTTCCATGGAATTAATTTTTCTATGAATTTCGAAAATGAAAAAATTTATTCAATCTAATATATAAAATGATGTTTCTCAAATATAAACGCCCAGGTATTATATAATTGTCACTGATATAATTGAAAAGTTAAGAACATGATCCTATTAAAATTGAGCCTGAATTTATATGTATTGATGTATATATATGTGAGATATATATTATCAAATATATGACCAATATATTTATCAATATACAAGATATATATACGAACACTAACAAAAAATATGGACATCAGTTCTGAAATGCAAATCATCATAATTATATATATGATATGAAATCAAAATGAGCAGCTGATTAATTAACAATGTATCTGAGTTAAAAGCCAAAGTATTCATTTATATATATGTGTTTGGCAAGTAGACCTGGTCAAGTCTAAACCTGTCTGGTTCAAACCAAAGCCGATGTCCTCCAACATGAAGGAAATTTATTTGCTATTTTTTATGTGGCCGTTGATTATAAGAATTAAAAATTTTATGGCAAGCGAGGCATTAATTACGAACTATAAAACAGGTATATACAAATACATAATTATGGATATATTTTTTATAAATTGTGCTAGATACTGCTAATTGACCCTTATCTTCGTTATAGTGCATATGCATTTTACATATCATTTGTTTTTTTGTTGTATCCTTAAAATACATTACAATCAGACAAAGGTGGTACTTTATTTGAAAGGAATTGCAACACAGGCGTAGATGAAAGAAATAGAGAGGCTTATTTAAAAGAGAATATTATATGGATTTTTTGAAAATCGGTTAGCAGTTTAGCAATAATTTGATCTTTTAATTAGGTATTTATGTGCATACACACAAACACATATATTATATATATATATATATATATATATATATATATATATATATATATATATAATGAATGGATATAAATATTTTTCTGGTCCCAAATTAGAGACTATTTCTTATTAAAAAAATATCTCCAAACCTGGATATAAGAGAA